CAGTGTTGTGATGTGGTGCTACAACCAGCCCACACCATCAGTGTTGTGATGTGGTGCTACAACCAGCCCACACCATCAGTGTTGTGATGTGGTGCTACAACCCAGCGTCAGGGATGGCGTCATGGCCTTTATTCTCTGCAACAAACTGATCAACAGTCATATCACGCCACAATGATTCCAATTGGTGTGAAGGTCGGAATATATACACTTTTGTTAACACACACACACACACACACACGCGCGCACAGTTAAGATAAAAAGTATACCTTACTTCCTGGCGAGGCTGGTGCACGTGTTCTTGCCTATATATAAATAGAGAGGGATTTTACTCATATATATATGACACGCAACTTCATTACTATGGAATGCAGCAGAAGGGCTTATACTGTAGATACACGGGGAGACTACCAGAGTTGATCACTGGGGAGGGAGGAAGCTTTCCACCAGTACGGTCAACACTGTCTTGTACTGTTGGGCTTATAAATATAGCTTGATGCATGTTAGATCTCCCCAGGTCTTATATTTCGCTTAACATAGGTATTAGATCACCCTAGGGTCATAGATGTTTGACAAAGGTGTGTTAGATCACCCTGAGGTCACATGATTAGCTTGACAACAGTGCCCAGAACATTGTAAATAAACTATAGGTTGTCATGTATTTATGACCTGAGTTTCACCTGTCACCATCATGTATAGTACGTGTGAAAAAGTAATTGGTGAGAGAGAGTGAGGGTTATGTTAAGTAGACTCATCATCAACACTCCACTCAGGTAGGCAGGTAGACTCATAGCTCCCCCCACCTATGTTAGATGCACATGAAGTACTAGGTGTCACTCACTCCCCATCACCACCAGACCACCATAACATCACCACCACACTCACCATAACATCACCACCACACTCACCATAACACTACCCCTCATCACCACCATAACACTACCCCTTATCACCACCATAACACTACCACCACACCCACCATAACATCACCACCACACCCACCATAATGCTACCCCTCACCACCACCGTAGCACCACCACCACACCCACCGTAACATCACCACCACACCCACCATAATGCTACCCCTCACCACCACCGTAGCACCACCACCACACCCACCATACCATACCTTAAAGTTGCCGGCACCACTCAAGATAGTGGCTCCCTTCATGGGCTCTCTCTCTCTCTCGACACACACACACACACACACACACACACACATATTCAATAGTGGACATTACTATTACCTGTAGGTATAAGAATTCACTTGATTGGTTAAAATAAACACTAAAACAGAATACAATTTACACTAGTACTCTCATAAGATATAGTTAACATATTACCTGTGCTAAATTAACATACACAAAATTATTAATAAACATTGTAACGTGTGCAGCAATATATAGCTACCGGGTAATTAACCCAAATAAAACACAACCTTTCGAGAATTATTTTTTTTAACGAAAGTCTTGAAGGAGAGATACGTGTCACATGTATATACTGATGTGACAGTCACGTATATACACTAAGGTAACAATTACATGTATACACCAAGGTAACAGTCACATATATACTGTACACCAAGGTGACAGTCACATGTATACACTAAGGTGACAGTCGGCTTAACATTGGGGATATCAGAAGCAGGATGTTATGAACAGTTTGAGATTATTTTGTTGTGGGTAAAACACTGACAGATAGCTCTATTTACTGACAGGGAGCTCTATATACTAACAGGAAGCTCTATATACTGACAGGGAGCTCTACATACTGACAGGAAGCTCTATATACAGACAGGGAGCTCTATATACTGACAGGGAGCTCTACATACTGACAGGGAGCTCTATATACTGACAGGGAGCTCTACATACTGACAGGTAGCTCTATATACTGACAGGTAGCTCTATATACTGACAGGGAGCTCTACATACTGACAGGTAGCTCTACATACTGACAGGTAGCTCTATATACTGACAGGTAGCTCTATATACTGACAGGGAGCTCTATATACTGACAGGGAGCTCTATATACTGACAGGGAGCTCTATATACAAGCCATTAGACTTACAAAAGGTGTTACTACAGTGTGTGTGGGGGGTAGGGGGTCCAAACTTCACTCTTGTCTCGTCATTCTGAAACCTTTAACTTGACCTCTTCATTAATGTTGAAAAGGACCAACTGAAGATTAGACACTAATGTTAACCTAAGCTAACCTAACCCAACCTAATCTAATGTAACCTAACCTAACGCTAACCAGACCTAACCAAACCAAACACCAACCTAACGTAACCCAATATACCGTAACTTAACCCTCCCCCCCCCCTCCTCTCCTGGTAGTGTTTGAGTAATGAATCTTCTGATAAAATAAACTGGGGGGGGCTAAACCTCATGTGATCTGTAAGAGAAACTAATCTGGGTGGCGGGTGGGGGGTGTACCTCTGCAGCCCAGGTGAGTATTTGTACGAGGGTCACTTGAAAGGTTCATAGTTGAGACTTGACACAATACTAGTGATTTTTGTTCACACACACACTACTACTACTACTACTTTGCTGTCACTCGGAATCAAGTATGACGATCATCCAGCTATGATACTATGATATGAGTTATTAGGGATGTCACCTAGGTTGGTGAGTTTTGAGGTGATTAAAGAGGCCGATACGGGACCCGCAGCGTCGTCCACACACACACACACACACACACACCAACTGTAATAATATATGTGTAAAAAAAATCTTAAAATAAGGTCAATGTTAATAACTTTTTCCTACAGTCTGAAATCCGCTTTCTTGTTGTAAAGTATTACTGCGCTTCAATAACTAAAGGTCTTTTATACGCGTTATCTGGGTTAGTTGATACACGAGACCTCAACGATTAAAAATTAAGATTGATTGTTTTTTTCAGTTTATTGTGATTTTATGTAATTATTATTATTATTTAAATAATTTGTGTTTAGGTTTTTAGGTTTGTGTTAATGTTTGTGTTTAGGTTTTTGTGTTTATGTTTACGTGTTTATATTTACTTGTTATGTTTGTGTTTCTTTATGTTTACGTGTTTAGGAACATAAGAATGGAGGAAACTGCAGCGGGCCTATTGGCCCATACTGGGCAGTCCCGTTTACACTTAACCCCTATCGCTATCCAGCGTATTCGAGTTAAAACCTACCTCGATTGACCTTTCCACCGTGTCAAGCACTTGCTATTTTATTCTGGCTACCGCCAGATGATTTTATTCAGCTTAGGGTAACCTCCCGCTGTGAAAGGATTAATGATGATGTTTGGTAACTTGTTCCACTAATTCACAACTCTACTTCCAAACCAGTGTTTCCCTCTCTCGCGCCTAAATCTATATTTGTCTAATTTAAAACCATCACTACGAGTTCGCTCCTGGTTGGGTAGTTTGAGTACCTCTGTTATGTGTGTGTTTGTGTGATTATGTTTACGAGTTTATGCTTGCGTGTTTATGTTTACCTATTTAGATTTGTTTGTTTATGTTTGTGTTTAAATTTACGTGTTTATATTTGTTTGTTTACATGTTTACATTTGTTTGTTTATGCCTACGTGTTTAAATTTGGGTTTGTTTGGGTAAACCCCTTTGTACAGAGCCGCCAGGCGATTTTATTCAGCTGAGAGAGGAACCCGTACACAGGGGACTAATGTCTTATATATTAGGTAAATGCTGAATGGTAATATAACTGCTTTAATACATAACTGATTGTATAGTATTTCTAACGGGAATTACTATATATGCTGTGGTGATGTATGGTATGGTGTTGTGTGGTGTGATGGTGATGTGGTAGTGTAGTGTGGTGTTGTGTGGTATGATGTGGTGTGGTGATGTATGGTGTGGTGTGATGGGAGTGTGGTGTGATGTTGTATGGTGTGGTGATGTATGGTGTGATGGTGGTGTGGTCTGGTGTGGTATGATGTGGTGTGGGTGACATGTGTGACTGTAAGGAAGAGTTATGTATGTATGTATGTATGTATGCATGCATGTATGTACTGTATTTATGTATGTATGTGTACGTTTGTGTTTCTGTATATGCGTGTGTATGTATGTGTGTGTGTGTTTGTAATGTATGTGTGTTAATGTTTGAGTGTTAATGTATGTGTGTGTGTGTTTACTTATTCGTTGCTGTACATTCTCTGCATCCGTGTGTATAATATTTGTTAATGTGCTTGGGTACGTATGTGTGTGTGTGTTTGCTTGTGGGTCCTTCTATATACAGTATCAAATGTGTGTGTGTGTGTGTGTGTGCGTGTGTGTGTGTGTGAGTGAGACAAGAAGCAAGGAGAGACAGAAGGAGTAAGAAAGAATACTGACAAGCTGTATAGCACTTTCGCAAGGGTTTCATGTGACTTTCATTATTGCATTGTACTGAATCAGTTGCAAGTTACCTCTAACACGTAGGACATAAATATACTACTTTAAATTAAAAAAATATGTATTATCGCGTTATATTCCTCGTGGTTGAATAATTTCAAATATCCTGCGCGTTTGTGAACAATAAAGCGAATATTGGATAACAGGGAGAGGAGGAAATAGTTTGGTTTAAATGAAGGACCTGGTGATGAGTGAAGACAAGTAGTGGTGACGTATTTGATGACGGCATGAGGGCGGGTCTTGTGTTCACCTTCTGTGCTTATCTCACCCTCACACATTCTTCACAGCTCACTATTCCCTCTATGTCTACTCAATATTTCATTCCCCTGCAGATATTATCAATGAGGACGTGGATAATTGGTGAAGTAGGGAAGAAAAGCAGGAGGGGGACTAGTGTAAATTGATGGGTCACACTATTTCTTACATATTTACCATATCTTTTGTGTTTTACTTCATATTATTACAGAAAAAATATGTATTTTTTTAAGGTAAGGAACTGAGATTATTAAATAGCGTTCTGCGTTGGTTTATAAGGTATGGAGGGGGATGCCGGAGAATTCTGGAGGGCGAGGGAGGGTGCGGGAGAGAGGGTGGGGGGAGTGGCGGCCATAGTGACGTCAGAGCACTTCCTCCCTCGCGCAGCCTCGCACACTCTCACGGAACACGAGACGAGGATCAGGTTATTTTCAGATATGGATTTGTACAACATTACCCATAACACTGGTGTTTGTGGATGAGTTCTGGGGACTGTGACTGTGAAGGAGTTCGTATTATGGTGCGCTGAGGTGGTACGAGGCGGGACTCCTGGTGATGGGAGCGCGTGGAGGTCGTGTGAGGAGGTAAAGAGGCCGCTGTGTGAGGTTAGCGGTGTGTGTGTGCCCACCTCCACCACACCTCGTATATACCCGTCACTCCTGCCACTCCACCAACTAGGGGCAGGTGGTCACTTCTCGCACCGTCGTAGGACCTGGGGGCGTCACACTAGAGAGGAAAGGAGGTGCAGGTGGCGGTGTAGGCAGTGGGTGTGGGGACACCTACCTACAACACCCCGCTGCTGGTCGTGTTTACACTTACACCCCGGCACACCCCACACTCACACACCTGAGTGCCTTGGTGTACACCTGTGCACTAACCCCCTTAACCCGCCACCCCACCCCCACACCACCACTCTAAACCCCCAAGCGGACCACTGGTGTCGGGGGTGCGGGCTGTATGGCACGCTGAGGCCCGCCCCGCTGCTGTGTTGCTGCCAGTATAGATATACGTGAAAGTGTAAGTGGTATGTGCGGCAGCGGCTGCCAGTGTTTGTTGCTGTGATGGCCGCAGTGTGGGTGTAGGAGGCAGACACTAGTGCGAGCTCGGGTGGATTGGACACACGCGGGAAAATGTCGGGGAGTGGGGGCACGTTTGTGGACAGGATAGACCCCTTTGCCAAGCGGTCGCTGAAGAAGAAGCCGAAGAGGTCGCAGGGATCGTCGCGGTATCGGACCACCAACGATGTGGAGCTACAGCCATTGCCGTTACTTAAAGGTAAAACGTCGTTCGTCCAAATATATATTTGGAATAATTCGCTTCTGTTACGATAACTTTTTTTTGTATAATTTAAAAAGTCATTGGGTAATTATTCATGGCTTGAGGTCGGTCGTCAATATTAACCACTCAATTGTTCCAGTGTGTGGGATGTTAGTGCCTCCAACGAGTGGGAGGTAAAGATGGCACTTATGTTTGTGTTGCAGTTTACAGTTTTCATTAAGGACCTCGTGTTAGGAGCACCACTGACTGGCGATGCCTCGGGTGTTTGTACTGTACACCATTTGTTTCATGAACGTGTAATGTCTTATTTCAGGGCGCCGCTTTAAAACTTGGCTTTTCTCCAAAATTTTTCCTCAAATTAATTTTTATTAGTACTGTACTTTATGGAGCTGGAGCCTCTCGGTGTTAACTTATCGAGTTTGGCTCCCAGTCTCACTACTTATGATGCCGTCGTGTGTGTGTTTGGAGCTGCGGTGAATTGACAGAATCATCACTGAAGTGAACCAGTGACCATCTGTCATCAGTGGTTCATTCCTGCTATAATTAATTGTACTTCAGTGAGTGGGTTTGTTAATTCACTCACAGGTGTTTAGGCTGTGGCACTGAGGCAGAGCAGTAAGGAAGGTATATATGTTATTCAAATGAATAATCTTGGCTCTAAACTAATTATTAAAGTGATTACCCTTTAATATATCATACTTAAATGTTCTGTAATTAGTTTATAGATCCTTGATAAAACTGTGAAATAATAGTTTTTTACATTTTCAACCCTAAAAATTGTTTCTTCCTTGAAAACGGTATTAATATGCAATAGAGGGAAAGTGTGGGGTTAGAAGCATCACTCAAAGAACCTAACCTAACCCTACCTTTCCTTACCTTACATTACCTTATGCCTACCCTACCCTACCCTATCCTACCCTACCCTATCCTACCCTACCTTACCTTTCCCTTCCCTCCCTACCTTACCCTACCCTACCCCCTACCCTACCTTACCCCACCCCCCCACCCCACCACCCTCCACCCCCACCTTATACCCCCTACCCCTCCCCTACCACCCCTACTTGCTCCTACCCTACCCTACCTTATACCTTAACCCAACCTCTACCTTATACCTACCCCCTACACCCCCCTACCCTATCCTACCCTATCCCACCTTACCCACCCTCCTCCCCTCCCCACCTTCCCTACTTATACCTTTCCTACCCTATCCTACCCTACCTTACCATACCCTACCTTACCTTACCCTACCCTACCTTATACCTTAACCTACCCTACCTTAACCTACCCTACCCTACCTTATCTTACCTTACCTTACCCTACCTTATACCTTACCCTACCCTACCCTACCTTATCTTACCTTACCTTACCCTACCCTACCTTATACCTTAACCTACCCTACCTTACCTTACTTAATCTGGTCATTGTACTTGCCTATACCATAATCAGCATAAAAATCTATTAAAATATCACCATCCTAGTTATGGGCTCATGAACCAGTGTTAATAGAATAATAATGTATTCAAAACTTTAACTTCATGCAGTCTTTTAAAACTTGTAAATTGGTAAAGCTAAACAATCCAGTGTAATGATTAAATGAAAGATTTTTAAAGTACAGAATCCATATTTCACAGTTCTAACATGAAGCATAATTGAGCAGTATATACCTGTATACAATTAATATTATATGAGGAAGAGGGAAAACAATTATTTTCCTCAGTTTAGAAATGATAAGTAGTTTACAGTACTGCTTATGTATACATACCGGTAATTCACATGTTCCAGTAAATGAAAGGTGATCATCAACAGCTGTCATACTTCAGCTGGAGGTGGCTTAAGTTTGGCAGTGCTCAGTGGTCCACTCTTGTTAATATCAGGTATAGTTTGTAAATGATCTGTTTTTATTCACCAGATCACACAGATTTAGTGGCCTACGTGCCTTTTTTTTTTCATGCTCCATTGCAGCAAGGTATTGGTGAAGATTCTGATAAAATAATATTTTTAACAGTACAGGTTCAGTTATTGTAGACATTAACCTGATTATGTTGATTGATAATGTCTTTTTTGTTTTATATGATAAAGGAAAATAAGTTTGTTGGATGACTGATAGAATGATGGTGTATTAACTGTCATCATGTCCCCTGAAATGTCTCATTAGTCATGTATATAGTATTAACCCTCTTGAGAATGATGGCTTAACCCCTCATTAACCCTTTCATCTTATTCTAGACTAGGAAAATGTTCATTATATTCAAGGGCTGTAGACATCATCATACTCAAGGGGTTAAGACATTGTAATCAAGGGGGTCAAGCCATTATTTGCAAATGATCAAGATATCTTAGTCATTGGCAGATGTGTTTAAGACTTCAAAATACTCATTGCAATTTCTTAGGGACCTGTCCATACTGTAGTTCATGCTATAGTTATGTGCAAAATCAATAAATATTAAGTCATTACATTATTCCATTATATCTGTACTTATAACTATTTTGATTTTCACCTACATTTAACACTTCTACTCATTGAGCTAATTCATTGTACTGTACTCAGAGGTTTAGGAACAAATTTCAGCTTGTACACATTGACTGTTACCTACAATTGGTTGACCTTATGTTGTCCTCGCTGTGTTTTATGTTCTTTAATTCTGCTACCAAGGGCCCCTAATTGGACAATGTCTGTGGAACTTACCTTGAGCCTCAATAAAGGTTTCCTCCCTTCATATGTACAGTAGATACATAAAGGAATGTTGACTTCTCCAGTTCCAGCAAGTAAGGTTGAAGATTTTATTTTCACTTCAAAAAAAATGGTTCTGGTTTTTGTGATGGTGTGGTGATGTGACATTTTTGACACCAGACACTTCAAACCTGATTAAACCAGTGTAACAAAAAAATGACACATGCCTAGTATCTTTTACTAACCAAACCAAACATATAACACCACAATCTTGGTTAGTTTTCATTAAGGTCTGTTGGGCAGGTTTTGATTTTTCATGACAGTTACTGTAAGAAATAGTTCACTGGCATTGCATCAAGAAAAATTGGACCTCAGTGGGAATGTGATACTATACTGTATTAAATTGGAACTCTATATAGTATAGGTAATCAGTATTTGCTAATAGGAATTTGGTGAGCTGACTTTAGAATGATAATCCTCTCAATCAGAATTTTACCTGGATATTGATCTGTATTTTTTAAATATGGTTTAACTTGCAGTTAAGTGCAAATTCAAAATACCTGTGAGATCTGGGAGTTTGCCAATAGCAGGAAATGTTATTGAAGTTTCACATGACCGCAGCACTATTTGAAGGTCCTCAAGCTGTCAGAAAATAGCAAAAAAGTACTGAGCATGTGTCACAACATTGTACTGTACCTGTAGTCAGCTGAACATTATTCCTACATTTTTCTGTAATGAAGTACTGCATTATTAAAGTACAGTACTTTACATACAGTATATACTTTCCACATCTTTGTAAAAGATGTACATATTTAGAGAGAGGAGGGAAAATAATGGGAAGATCCAAGTGTGTATATGTATATATTGTACAGAACTGTACAATATATATATATATATATATATATATATATATATATATATATATATATATATATATATATATATATATATATATATATATATATATATATATATATATATATATATATACTGTATATATAATATATATGCAAGTAAATCACTGTAGGTGCGCGTGATCTAGGTATATGCTGATAACCACAAGGAAAGAAGAAAACACGAAGTTCCCACATACTTGGATGTACCCTAAGTAGTTGTTATTGTACTGAAGATCTAGTGTATTTTTCTGAAAATGGAGACATGGCTACTGTCGAGGTAGATGTCTATACAGTACAGTACTGTACAATGTATGCCATTGTAGACAGTATGTATATCTGTTATTGATGGGTTACCTCCTCGTTCCCCTCCAGTAGTGAGCTTATCAATTTTTGGTGACTGTATACAAGGGGTTTAAAGATGTTTGTCTTTGCTATTATTGATGTTAATGTCAAACCATACTGTTAAAGTTTTAGGAACAGTTCCCTGAGATTTAGCTACAGTCAACCCTCGCTTTACGCGGTCCCACATTATGCTTTTCCACGTTTACGCGGTACCCTGCCGAAACCGGAATGCTCACTTTCTGCGGTGCGTGTACCCCTTTACGCGGAGAGCGGCGCGAGCAGGGTGCGCACAAGGTCGCCCAGTCATCAAAACATTACCGAGTTCTTCACCCGCCACCCACCACAGCCGGCCCAAGTCAGTGATAGTGATAATGATAGTGAGGATATGGACTTATATGGACTTTGAGGGGTTTGACAAAGAGGCCCTGCAAGCCTCTGTGGTGGATAGTGATACGATTGATACAAGTGATACAGGTGAGGGCCAATAATCTGCCCTCTGCCTCGGAACCAATCCCTCATCCCCGTGTGCCCAGCCATCTTTTCTACTAATGTAAGTGTTAAAAAACCTAATATTATTGATACTCTGTATTTCTCTTAATTATTAATTGTGTGTGCATACCATCATAAAATTAAGAAGTTATTTTTACTACAACGTAGGTATTGTGTCTGAAAAAGTGGAGTTTGGGGGTCGGCCCGGTCTCTATTTTAATTAATCCCATATGTTATGTTGTTCACTTTACGCGGGCCGCCGTGGGTTGAATTAACCGTGTAAAGTGAGGATTCACTGTACTTGTAGGCAATTCTTTATGAACCTCTGTTTATCTATGACCAAATTTCCTGAGTGACAACTATCGATTATTTAGACATGCAGCTTACTGACATAAATGTTCTTTGTAGTGATCAGATTTTATTCATACTGGTACTGATATTAAGTGACTGTTTATTGCTTGTCCAAAAATATAATATCATTTAGGGTTCTTGAATAGAAATAATGACCTTGTATATATACTGTGCTGTAGTTTCTAGTCAGAATACAGTACTGTACACAAAACCTGCATTTTTTCACCTGTCCATTATTAAAGTATGAC